CAACCTCGCGGCAGGCGTGTGCACGAGCATCCGAAACTCAGACTGAGCGGACCTCACCCAGCCTGCCGGGCCTCCACGCCAGCAGGGGAGACGAGGTCTGGCACCGCCTCCCCTCGTGACCACACCTGCCAGCGGGTGGCCGAGCCTCCTTTGCAGGAGCCCCAGGGCCAGGCAGCTGTGTGTGGAGATTTGGCGTGGATGTGCCAAAGCTCGGGTTATTGTGGAGGCCACTGTACCTCCCTGATTTCCAGAAGTCAGACATTCACGGGGGCGGGGCGTTCACAGGGGCACACCCAGGGGCAGGGCGTTCACGGGGTTGCACCCAGGAGCAGGGTATGCTGAGCCCCCATGATGGGCCCCTTGGCGGGCAAGGCCCCAAAGCGATGCCAAGGCCCGACGGCCCCACCTGCCCACTGGCCAGGGAGGTGTTCACAGCCACACAGCCACGGTGCTGGAGCAGCACTGGGAACAGGCAGCCCTGTGAAGGGCGAGGGCCCAGGACACCCGCTGCCAGAGGGTGGAGGAGGCACACCGAGCCCACGCCACTGCAGTCACTCATCTGGCCCTCTGTGGACTGCCCCCATTTCACCTGAGACCCGAGGCAGGGCACTGGAGGGCAGGGCTGACCCTAGCGAGCCAGGGCAGGTGGCGGCTCCCGCCTCTACCTGGACCTCCCTGAGAGACCCAGAATCAGGTCAGGAGCTAGGACTGCAGGTGAGGGAGGCCGAGGGCTCGGGGCCCTCCTGCCCCACTAGGTGTGCCGCCTGATTTCATCACAGTCCTGGTTAAACGCCGAGAGGCCCCGTCGGCCCCCGCATCATGGCCGGGGGGGGGCAGCCCGGCTTTCGGGGTTCATGGCAATACCCCAGGGCCACTTCCCCAGGTGTCTCAGGGATCCTGAATTTCAGGAAATCTTCAGGGACCCTGTGGATTGACTGCAGGGCGAGCAGCCCCTCACTTCTCGGGGGGACAGGGGGGAACAAGCTCCCTCCCTCTGGCTGGCTAGCACTAGGGGAGGCCCCTTGCCCTCTTCTGCCGTGCTGAGCTGGGGGCTGTTGCCAGTCTGAACTGCAGAAGCAGCACATCGGGGCGGTGGGCCCCAAGGGAGGGTAGACAGGCAGCAAACGTCTACAGGGGGCACGTCTGCTTCCCGGGGGGACAGGCACACGGCCCAGACCCCAGCCCCACCGTGCCACATCCCCTCTGGTGCAGGGCCGCCTCGTGGTAGTGCCATGGTGGCCAGTGCTCAGCAGGGGACATGCCACAGCTGAAGGACTCAGGCAGCAGATGCGTGGAACTCTGGGGGTGCGTGGTGGCTGCCCCAGGACCCCACTTTCTAAGACGTGCTCACCGAGGAGGGCTGGCTCTCTGGGTCCCAAGTCTCCAGATCATCCCGCCCACCCCCCCCAAGGCCATCCTGTCCACCTCACTGGCTGTCCTGCTCATCAGCGAGTACCTGCTTCTCACCAAAGCGGGGAGGGGCCTTGCAGCTGGGCTGGTGTCCACAGTGCCGGCCGTTTCTGCAGTGTGGGGCTGACCAGGGTCGGTGTAGGGGTCCCAGACTCCAGCCTCCCCTCCTCCCAGTGAGGTCCCACCTTCCTTCAGCCCTGCCCACCCCGGCCAGAATAGGTGCAGAGGGCCAGAGGGGCCTGCGGGTCATGCAGGAGCTCGCTGGGGAGACACTGCGGCTGCAGCCCTCTGCCTCTGGGGAAGGCGTGTGGGCCTGCCTGACACAAGGGCACTGCCAAGCAGAAGTCCCCGCAGCCAGCGCCAGGCGCCTCAGGAAAGCCCTCGTGCCATGCAGGAAGACGGAGCCAGCAGCCCCTTGCCCTGCCCTGCCGGCTGAGGCGCAGTGTCCTGAGGCCCCGAAGGGAGGCACGGCCTGTTCCCTTAGCCCCAGCTCAGCCCCAGGACCTGCGGCCAGGTGGGAGGTGGGAAGAGGCGGTGCCCGGAGGACCCTGCTGCACAGGGCAGACTGGGCCCACAGACCACTCATTGGGTAGGCCGGCGTGCTCAGGAGGAGACTTACGGAGAAGTCTGTGTCCTCTGCCTTGAGGTGGTCGGCAACGTACTGGACGCCCTCCACTGCCCGCGTCAGGGCTGGCGACAAGGGCGGGTGCCGGGGCAGGGCTGTGTGTGAGGCGTCTGCGGAGGCCGTGGGCTGCTCCTTCTTGCACGCACACTTGCACGGGGAGGGCTGGTCTGGCGGTGGGAGCTCGGCCGACGGGGCCTTCTGAGAGGCCCGAGAACCATCAGTCGTGGAGGTGGCGGTGTCCCGGGGAGTGCAGTACTGGATACTCCGGGAGCGGCACCGGACCCCGCCCTCTGCTGCATGACCGAGGCTGGGCACATGCTGGACACTCAGAGACCTGGCTTTGGTGAGCCCTGGGGTGCCGGTGCTGCTGGGCGAGGGGCAGGGACTGGAGGCTGGGGCCTCGGATGGCTGCAGAGCTGGGACCCGGGCGGAAAGGGGAGACTCGCAGGCTGTCTGCGGCTCACCTGGGACATCCAGGGGCACGCAGAAGGTAGGGGAGGGCGGCAGGCCGCAGCCACGGACGCCCTCGGGCTCGGGCCAGAAGCGCGGGGCGCTGGCCATCTTGTGCATGGACTCAATGAGCCGCCGGCAGTTGACCTTGACCACAGACGGCCGCTTCATGAAGAGCAGGCGCGGCACGACGTCCAGGAAGACCCTGCGCACCCAGGCGGGCATGGTGTGCGTGCGCGGGGAGCGGTGGTGCACGTTGAGGACGAAGACGGTGATGACGATGGACAGGGTCACGAAGATCATGGTGAACAGCAGGTACTCGCCGATGAGCGGGATGACCAGCGAGGTGGACGGGATGATCTCGGTGATGAGCAGCAGGAAGACGGTGAGCGAGAGCAGCACCGAGATGCACAGCGTGACCTTCTCGCCGCACTCGGACGGCAGGTAGAAGACCAGCACGGTGAGGCAGGAGATGAGCAGGCAGGGGATGATGAGGTTGATGGTGTAGAAGAGCGGCAGGCGGCGGATGACGAAGGCGTAGGTGATGTCGGGGTACACCTCCGCGCAGCACTCGTACTTGCGGGTGTTGTAGGTGCCCACGGCGTCCACGATGACCCACTCGCCGCTCTCCCAGAAGTCCAACTGGTCCACGCGGCGGTGCATGCTCACCAGGTCGATCTTGGCCTTGTCGTAGGTCCAGGAGCCGAACTTCATGGTGCAGTTCTGCTGGTCGAAGGGGAAGAAGGTGACATCGATGCTGCAGGAGCTCTTGTAGATGGCCGGGGGTGTCCACTGCACTCGCCCGTCGTAGAACAGGTGGGCCTTGGTCAGGTGCGTGACCGCGAAGTCCCCGTCCGCGCTGGGCAAGAAGAGGGAGACGCAGCTAAGAGCCCGGACAGCACACCGACTCCGCACGCCCCATGTGTGAGCAGTGCCACCTCGCGGGTCGGCGCAGCCTTGGGCAGAGCAAGGACCTACACCGCCACTTACCCACGTGCCTGGCTGCCCACTCCTGAGCCGGGGACAGAGACACCCGGCCCACGTCAGGTAGGACATCGCCACTCCACTCTCTGGGGCCGCCGGGACCGGAGC